ATTCCTTTCTCCACCTGCAAAGTACGACAGCATCTCTACATTGTCTCCCGATCAGAACACATCCTACTTCAAAACCAAGGATGGGGCTTCTACAAGCAACAGTGAAGGCCTTCTGAGCTTCTGGAAAGTTGCTGAGGGCGCACAATCTTTACCAAGTGTGAAACATGGCCAATCAAGGGATGGGACTCTTCCACTATAAGCACAGGCACACGCCCAGTCTTCAGTTTGACATCTCAGCAGTTTCTCAGTCCTTCAGGAGCCAAGTTAGGCATGTGGTTTGTGTTGAGTTAGGAACACAAGCCTCTGTCGGTTTTCTTCCTGCTTCTCTTAGAAGCTGCCCCTTTCCCACACAAGTGAATATGCAATGATCAAACACAACAAATTTAGCTTGAATTAAAAAATTAAAATGCACCAGAAAAGAGTGTGCATGCTGAGGGAGAGGGAGCCGACATGGAAACTCTGTGGTTCTGCATCTGCAGTTAACCAGGGTCCCAGCGGGCTGTCCTGGGCACTGGTGAGCACGTCACGGGACCAAGCAACCTTCTCCAGGTGGTCATTCCTCCCATTAAAAGCCCAGAGAGAGGAAACTGTAACTAGGAGTTCTGTTAAAAGCTTCACCACGAAAAGGAGAACGGTTCACATCTATGAAGAGACGGTGTCAGTGCGTCCTGCACACGTGTATACCACACGTCTATAAACATAAGCACACACACCCCATCTCTACGGCTTTCAAGTCTTTCTCCTAGCTGTCAAAATTTTAAGAGCATTAAACAAGAAGAAAATAAATGCTTCTCTTTGACATTTTTTAATAAGGCAGTGGTTTTCACAACTAGTTGTGTATCAAAATTATCTAAGAAGCTTTTTAAAAAATACAGATGCTGTGGCCCCACCCCAAATGGACTGAATCAGACCCTGTCTCCTGTGCTGGGTATCTGGGAACTGACAGTGGGACAAGGGCTGGACCACCCACTGAATCACCTTCTGGTCCCTCCAGGACAGCGGGCTTGCTCTCTGCTCCAGGTGGTGCCCAAAGGAAAGCCTGATGTTTGGGATAAGGAACTTAAAAATCATTGTTTGGGGACACTTCCAAACTTCACAACACTTCCATTCAGCTTGTAGCAGGAAGAAGTGTCCTCGGGGATGAAGGCTGAGCCTCAGTTCTAGTGGGAAGAAAAATATCACACCCCTCATCCTCTGGCAGGTTTTCTGGCAGATCCTGAGCTTTGGGAAGAGAACAGCCTCCCTCTTTCCCCAAGTGATTTTCTCTCACTCGGCTCTGAGGAAAACTAATGAAAGTTAACATTTCCAGAGCCCTGACTATGGACCAGGCACTGAGCCAATTTAATTGTTACAAACTAGTTGTGGGGGGGGGTCTGTTGTCACCCCCATTTGGCAGATGAGGGAACCGAGGCTTGTCTGTGACTACAAAGGGGTACGAGCCAGACCTGGAGGCCCAAATGCTTGACCACTGGGCACTGTGCCTTCCAGCCAGCTCTGTCACATGGCCCACAAAACATACAAGAGGTGGGTAAATGGAAAGAGAATTACTTTTAATTTCCACATTGCTTTTCTAACCAAACGGGGAGTGGTTTCTTAGTACAATGGGGTGCTGCCAGTGGTAAAGAAAGAGAGGAAACAAGAGAAAATATGGGCGACTATGTGGAAGAATTGTGTACTGCCTTTTTGCTCTCGTGATACCCATTCGTTTCACGTGGGGGGTTGGAATAATTGCTTAATTTGGGTGATTATGGTGCCAAGTGCTGCCTCTTCACTTTGCACTCACTGCAACGACGAACAGCCCCGAGTCTAGGACGCGGTGTTCCCAACCTTCGTGATCCTCCACCCAATTTCTAGTCTTCACAAAAGTCTCCCAGGTCCTGTGACATTAATGTGAAATGTGTTCACATGGCTGGGAAGGGAGGCTAAGAGGAGCTTTGCTCAGTGTCCCATCAAAGCCTTTTCCATATGCAAGCATGTCTCCTGCATTTATGGAGAGCTCTGCTTTTTTAGCCCATTTCCCAGTCACTTCTACATTAATTAGTAAGAGTATCATTTTATCAATTGCAGCTTCATATCAGAGGAAAGCAGAGTTTATCTTAATTCCGTCAGCTGTGTGAAATACAGTACCCTAATTTTAGACCGCAAGTTCTGCAGATCCCTGTGGAGTAAGAGAATGACAGGTCTTCCGGAGAGAAATCCCAGTGGGTCCCCTACAAGTCTCACTTTTGCCTCCAACAGCATCCCTGGTGGGGTTGCTGAAGAGATCCCAGGACACTGAGTGGCATCTTTTCCACTATTAGCAATTCAGATTTGAATGCGAACCCTCCAAGCAGCACACGAAAGCCACCCAGGTTAGCTCTGGGGCTCTGAGGGGGGCTCAGGTGAGAGGCTCTGGCACAGAGGAGGCTGATGGGGGCCCAGGCTCCAGTGCAGAGCAGAAGTCTGGGAGGATGGTGTTAAAGCCGGTAATAAACACCAGACAATCTCATCCAAAATGGGAAGCCTGACAGTATTAACTCTAACAGGGCCAAGCAGGAAGGACGGCGATTACAGAGCAGTGGCTGCTCCTGCTGGGGGCCCTCGGAGGGTGGGGGTGGGGGGCAGGGACAGAGATGTGAGTGCTGTTGTGAGGCAGCCCTCAGTTAAGAAGAGGACCTGCAGGGCCACCACAGTCACAGGAAAAGTGACCGGGGCAGCTGAGGCAGGAAGCGCGCATGTGTCAGAGGAACACTCCCGACGGGTCCCCGTCATCACCCCTCCCGTGGACTTGCCTACAGACATCTTGTTCTCTACTGTCCTGAAATCATCGCAAACTCGGAGACGTGGGTGCTGGCTACCCTCCCACTGCCCATTTTTTCGGACTGACACTTTGCTGCTTCCTACGCTCAGAGATGGGAGCCTGGGCAGCAAAGACTTGGGGGTTCAGGTCCCAGGAGATGACTAGCTGCTCTTAGGATGCAGCAAACACCCAGGCCTCTGAAAACCGCAGGCAGCTCTGATAATCCTGGACACTACCAGAGTTAGGTGGTCATCTAGACAAGGGTCTAGACACCGGCAGAGAGTCTGAGACAGCTGGCCTGGATGCAGCACCGGCACTGGGGTTTGTAAGCTCCCGGGGGATCTGGAAGTGCAGTCAAGGTTGAGATTGCTGATCAAGACACCTGCATGGGAGGCAACACCAGGCGTCATTACCCACTCCTGCCACTGCTAGAGACTGTGACACTTCCCAAATTCACGTTGTCTTTTAAAGAAAGAATGTCTGCTTGGCTGTGAAACCCCGAGGAAGCCTCATCCCCTTGGAGAGGTGCCACCCACTTGGAAGGGGAGATGGAACATCACCTGTAAAAGCTCTTCTGGAGTGGGAAGAGAGTCCCAGTCCCTCCCTGGATGCCTGGGATGCCCGGCACAACAGGACGACGACTACCATGTGGGAGGGGCCTGCACGCCCCTGGTCCCTCTCCTGCTGCCCACACGCCTCCGGCACCCACCGCACACTGGCTGCCTGAGACACGGGGGACCGACTCCCAGGGAGCTAAGACTCCTATGGGCTGGGGGAAGGAAGCTCCTACTTGTCAGTTAAACAAAAGAAGAATCCACAGCCCCTTTCCAGTGTGTACTTTCACTGTCATCCAACAGCCCATTACCATGTCACAGCACAGCGCACCCTTCCATAGGTCACTTTGTTTAAAATGACGTGGATAATGCACATGTCAGCAAGCTGACAGTCCTCGCCGTCCTTCAGAGATAAAAACCTCAAGGCGAGAGCCTGTTCTTATCTGGGGGACATGCATTGGTCTATCATCCAAGTCAGGCAGAACATGATTTCTCCAGAGAGCACTTTTTTCATTTCCTGATTTTAAGGAAATCAAATAAGCACCATTTGTCTTCATCTGAATATGCTTGACCTGCTCAAATGATGATGTCTCGCATTTTATAACAGGCTACATATGCTGAATTCAAATTAACGACAGTACAGAATGAGAGCCTTTAGGTCTCTCTTGGAGGCTGGGAGCAGAGAAGGAGGAAAATTCTGGGCTTGACGGAAACATCCCACTAGATCCCACCCGGCAGGGTTCTGAGTAAAATCCGCAAGCACGCAGGGGGTAAGAGTCAGAGAACAGGGCTCAGTAAGACCAGCTCTGCAGGACAGATCCAGAAACTGGCCAAGAGAGAGCATGTCCCTTCCTTCTGGTGCCAAGCAATATAGAAACCATGATATTTGGTAACTCTTTATGAAATACATAAAGTGGGAATTAATCTGGAAAGAAATTTGGCTGGGGGGTTAGGACAGCTAGAAAGAAAGAACAAACACACAAACAATCCCTTTGCTTCAGGCAGCAGAATGTTCACTTTACCAGTTTGGGATCCAATCTTCTGAAAGTCCCAACCTGAGCTGCTTTTCTTGATCCATGCGGAACTGGAGACGCAGAGGCTGGTGGCCATCAGCCTCGAACCAGAGTATGTACCTGCTGGAAGAACTGCCCTCCCCCCGACCATCCGCCTGGACAACCAGAGAGCAGTTCCCATCTGACAGCCCCTGCCCACCTGTGCCCCCACAAAGACACTCCTAGGAACATGCCATTGACATTCCTATCAAGAAGGTCAATATGTACAGAAAAGCAGGAAGAAGCATATGAGTCAGTAAAAGAAATGAAGGAATGACATTATAAATGCACACTAGTAGGTTTTATGTTCCAGTCAAGGATTAAACAAGAAAAACCAGATGGCTATTAAAATAAATAATTTCTTCTTGGTTCTATAAAGCGAAAACCGAGTATCACATATATACAATATTAAAGGCTTATTTTGAAAAAGTGGCTCTCACAGCTAAATTCATTATTTCTTATCACAGGAAGTATCACTATGAATGAAGCCCATCTTGGCAGAAGAGAGGTGCTGCCGATGTGAAGCTGCACCCCCCCAACAGCTGTGTACGGGAGACCCCGGTGTTCACGGTGCTCAGGCACCGTGCCCATGATGGGTGGAGGAGGGGGGCTTACCTTCTCTTCCTGGTCACTGTCGCTGTCACACTGAAAAGGAAGACAAAAAAAAGAGCATTAGTACAAAAACTGAGTATGTTTTTGCTTTTGCCACAGAGAAAAAAAGACAAGCAAAGGAAATGGGAAACACTGTCTGAACTGGAAAGTTTCCTCTGCTCAAGCGCTGTAAACAGAAACAGAAGCAAAATGTGGAGAAGCTGCTCTGTTGAATTCACCTGATGCCAGTTCATATGACGCCAGCGCTCTGTGGCTCGACCTGTGGTCAGCCGATCGCACCAGGGAGCACCCTGACTGCCCCACAGAGGAGCCAACCTGGCCACGGAATGGCGGTGAATGAAGATCGCACAGTAGGGGGGCAAAACCGATTTCTAACGGAGATGTTCTACCTTCAGCTAAGGTGAACGGCTCTCTCCTCCTGGTGCTTTTCTAGAGGAAAAGAGGCAGAGTTCTGGGCATCGTGTTCTCTCACTTGGACTCTGAAGGATACTGAACATGACGGGCAGGCTCACCACTTGTGATGCCGCAGGGGAAAGCAGGGGTATACTCTAGTAAAGCCAAGGACAGGAATTCCGGGTAACAAATCAACAATATAGGCGAAACAAAAGTCTTAGGGCAGGAGACTCACACCATATCTAACAGATCCCAAATTCCAACTGCTGAACTTGATTTCAGAAGACCAGAAAATGGTAGTTAACTCAAAGCGCTGGGTCCTCATTAGAAGTAAAGGGAAAAAAGAACACAAAAATTTTATTAAAAACTAAGAGTGTTTTGTTATCCAATATTTGATCTTTAAAAAACAAGATGTGTTTTGTTAGAGTAAATACTCAGCAGATGAATATATCCATCCCCTCACTCAGCAGCCCTTGATAAGTACTGTTAAGCTGGTCAGATATTCAATCAAGTCATAGGACTGGCCCTAACGCAGCTTTCAGTTTCGCAGCAGAGGTAACTCGCACACACCCACTGAGCAGGGCTGGGGCGTAATCAGAGCTGCACCTACTCCATGAAGATGATTCTTCTGTGGGGTGGAGGAGAGAGCGGAAAGGCCCAGGTCAGGGGGACACCAGGCTGGCAACTGTCACACTGTCCAAATCTGCATGGTGCATAGTTTGAGAAAGTATAGAACAGACAGCAGAGCAATTCTGAAGGTAGAACCAACAGGACTTGACAACACAATGTGGAAGCAAGTAAGAGGGACGAGTTAGGATGATGCCAAAGTGTTTCGGTATGGCCACCTGGACAAGGGAATCGGTGTGGCGATGAACAAAAACAGGAAATAAACTTGCTTATAGAGCAGCCACTGCCGGCTACACACTCACAGCCATTCATAGCCCCTTCTCCCTAGTTTTGAGACGTTTTGAGATTAAAAAAGCCAGATATTCTCTCTTTCCCAACTTTGCAGCTAAGGGTGGCCATAAGACCCATTTTTGGCTGGGACCTGAGAAAATATCTGATGAAGGTTCTGGAAAACCTTTTTCTCCTCAAAAAAAAAAAGGAAGAAAAGCAGGAAGCACTTGTCTCTTGCCTTTGAACCTCACTGCATGTGGATGTGCTGTCCAGACCTGTGGCAGCCACCTTGCAAAAATGAGGCCAAAAGATGAAGTACAAAAACAAGGAAAGAAAAATCCTGGCACAACTGAGCCATGTGAACCAACCTCACAGCAGCCTGCCTCTGAACTTTTTTGTTCAGATAATAATAAGTTACCTTATTGTTTATACCACCATTAGAGTATGTTCAATTGAAAGTAACAAAACCCCCATCCAAATGGGCACCTTGCCATATTAAGCCTCAACTGGGGAACTGCTTCTTCTTTCCAGCCTAAGCTGTCTATTCAATAAGCATTTAGGAACTCGCATCATAACCTTATGGCCAGGAGGGTTCTACTCACCCCACTGGCTCCTCGATGCCACAGGGGTATCACAGTTTCAGCGACGGTGCTTTAACCATTGTTTTCAACCAAGCTTCCAACCTCAAACTGTCTAAACTTACTTTCTTCTGCCTGATGAGTGATTGTTCTGTTATAATAAGTCAAACCAGCTGAGAAAAAAGATGGGCCTTGAACACCAGACGGATAAAGCACAACAGTTCTGAATGTGTGGTTTCTCCATTGCCTTTAATTAAGCCTTCCTTGAGGTTCCTGAGTTCCGGGCACATTTTCAAGAGTGACAAAGCATGATTCAGGAGGGGAGCGGAAGAGCAAAGAGGATTCTGCCAGATAGGCTCATTCTCCCAGATGTTCATGGCCCACCTTGTGAGGTAATCAAGGACAGCTGAAGGCTGGGGCAGGGCACTGCCCACACCCCCAAGGACTGGTGTGCGGGGGCAGAAGGAGTGGGAAGAACCAGCACTGCCCCTTCCCCCCACCAGAACAGCAGTATGTCTCTGGGAACCGTTATTTCTATCAAAGTGTTAAGCTTCCCGCTTTCCAACAGTCCAGTTCTAATTTCAAGGTCCACTTAATTCTGCATCAAGTAATTACTGATATACCCAGAAGCACCTTGTCTCCAGAGTTAAGCATATGGTGAAGAACTGAGACCTACTGGTATCCATTATGGAAGCAGCACGGATGCCAAGCCGATTAAAAATGCTCAGGCTCCCCACACAACATGCCGGGTGAGTGACAGCCCCTCGACAAGGCCAGTCGCAGAGTCTGCCAAAACAGTCTGTGCTGCATTGGGGCCCACATGGTGTGCTGAGAAAACAGTTCCATTTCTGGTATTAAATTCCCACACTGACCCGAGGACTTTGCCGTGAGCTCAGCAGGAGCGCACCATCCAATTTACAGCTCCGCTCTCTGGAGCCTCGAGTGCCAGCCCCTGGCAGAGACGAATGATGGTCAACCCCTCCAGCTCATAAATTATGCAAAGGCAATAAATGCACTCAGCAAACAGCGCCGAACGTTTGCCGAGCCTGGCTCCTGACACACTCTGTAAAGAGCCAGAAGCTCGACACATACAAGAGGTCTATTCCACTCATAAAGGGGGCTTGTTGACAACCCCAGACGGAAAGCGAGCCACAGTCCTAAGGAGTCTTTCTGCTTGGCTGGCAGCGGTTTATGGGCCTGCTTTATGAAAAAGGGAGGCTGTTTTATAGAGTCGGTGTGAGGAGAATTCACGGTCTCAAATTCACATTTAATACACTGGACGGCTTTCACACCCTGAGTTCAATACGCTGTGGATCTCTAGCCAAATGATTCTTGGTCTTGAAAGGTTAAAAGAAGAAGTGTCTGCTCCCCGCTCCCTAGATACCCACTCCAATTTATGAGAGTTCACGTGGAGCCACCTCCTGATGCAGGTTTACGTTCTGCGTGGGGCTGGGAAATGGAAAAGGCATGTCAAATGCAGAAACGGGGTCCCAGCTGATTTGACCATTTTAAGCATTTTGACATCGGGTCCCGTACTGGTTTATTAGCAAACAGGTTGCACACTAACGACCAGGGGACAGAGTACTCTCCATGACTAGATTTCAAAGCCCTTTGTGAACAGCTGAAAACATTTCCCTCCATTTAAAAACCCAGGAATGAAACGGAACAACCAGCTCTGAAGCCCTCTGCCTTCAGACAAAGACATGACCCCAACCCACTAAAGACAAAAGAGGGAAAGAGGAGGCAGGAAATCCAAGCCACATGCCTCGCATGCAGAATTAGAAAGAGACTAGCTCCCAACCTGAGCACCTCCAGGCATCCCAGCCCATCAGCACCCAACTTCCCCTTCACCTGCGCTTCCCTCTTGTTTCCCAAATTAAAACCGAACCTTCAGAGGCAACTTCTCCCTTTCCCAGAGAAATTCCACCTCTTAAACTCTGCAAGTAACCAACCAACACCCCCACTCAATATTTTCTCCTTTTGAAAATTAATACATACTTGTTAAATACATTTTAAAAAACCACCCATAAGCCTACCATCCACAGATAAACACTGTGGACATGTTTGCACGTTTCTTTCAAGTCTTTCTGCCATTCATTCTCTCCATCCTTCACTCACAGATTTTAGGAAAAGAAAATGAAGTCGTACCATTTTGTAACCTGCTTTGTTTTCACAAGCTAAATATTTTAGTTTAATGAGTAAAATTTGCCCAGTAAAATCACATTTTTGAAAAGGCTGCACTGTATCCACTGTATGGGTTGTAAATAATCTAGTAAAAAAATTCCCTAGTGCTGGCTATTTGGACTGTTTCCACTGAACATCCTGGAATCTCTCCCTTGTACACATTCACCAATATTGCTCTTTCCTAGACTCTTTCCGTGGCCCTTCCTTTTCTGCATATTCTTTAATGTCATTGTCTCCCTAGAGCTGCATTTGTGGGTCTATCATTTCTGTATGATTTCCAGGGGAGTCCTTAAAGATTCCCTGGGTTCCACCTACCATGTATATGCTGAGACTAAAAAATCTCTATGCCTACCATTTGCCAGTTATGGGGCTTTCGGAAAGTTATTTAAACTCTTCGAGTCTCAGTTTGCTTATCTGTAAAGTGTGGGTAACAATGGCATTTCCCTCTTAAGAAAGTGAGACTAAAATGAGTTAATACATGTAAACAACTTAGACAAGGCACAGTACGTGTAAGTGTAGACAATTAATTAATGTTAACTATCATTAACTTATGTTTTTTGTTTGTTATACTCCCTGCCTGAAACCCTATACAGTCCTCGGGCTCAAGTATCCACCTAAATGCGAACTCACCAGCTTCTGCTCACCCCATACCTGCCCCTCTCCCGTGCTGGTCTTGGTAATGACATCACCACGCAGTCACTCAGCTGCCCAAGTGAAGAGTCTGGTCATCATCCTTGACTCCATTCTTAAGCAGACATATCTCCTTCTCTTACCTTGCAGTATCAGTTCTGTTTTCTAAATCCTCCCCATCTTCATGGCCATGGCCACTGCTTTAGTTCAGACTTTTATTTTACCATGTCAAGGCCCCCATGACTGCTTCACAGGGCCTAGGGTCTCTTTCTTTTCTAATCCAAGTCCTTGCTGACCAGAGTGGATTTCCTAAATTTCAATTTGATCATGACACTTCCCAGGGCCTAGAGG